GCATGCTCCCCGTGCTGAGGGGGGACAAACAGCAGCACCTCCATGGCCCCATCCCACCACAGCCCCACTCACCTGATTCAGCCACCTCGGCGATGGGCACGCCCTGCTCCCTCGCCATGAAGCCCAGGATGGAGAAGATGGCAAAGCCGGCCACAAAACTGGTACCACTGTTGAGGAAGCAGAGGGCCACGCAGTCCCTGGGAGGAGGGGGGCACAGCATCAGCCAGGTGGGGGTCCAGGTTTGACCCACACCCCATGGCAGTCCTCCCAAGAGAGAGCCTGTGCTCCCACCCCAGCCACTGTGCCCCCCACGTGGCTCCCTGCTCCCCCGTGACATGGCTCATGAGAATGCCCCAGAGTATGAAACACAGCAGGAGCCCCCTCAGAGACAGCTTTGTCCAAGGACAGCGTAAAGATGCAGTCCTCACCTCAGCTCCTCCCTCGTGAGATAGTCATGCTCTCATGAGAGTACCAGGGATTATTTTTGTCTGAGAAGGAGGCATGGTTGGTTTTTTTTTTCCTTAATAGATTTCTCAGACCAGTTACAATCTTCTCTGTTCTCAGCACTGCTAGATATCTTCTGGTTCTCACATTGTGAGAAAAAAAGATGAACAGAGCCATCCAATTTATTTCCTCTGATCTATTCCCTTTTGTCTCTGTTTCATCTCATTCTCATCCATCTACTCTTTAAACTAAACATCTCTTATCTATCCAATTTCTTTTCACACTCCAGTCTCCCAAGCCTGCTTGTGACTGCAACCCTGGGACAACAATAATGTTTGAAGCATGTTTCCAAGATATTCTGAACCAAACTGAACGCACCCCCTTTCTCTGGCATTTCATGACCTGTTCTGACTTTATTAAATGCTGCTCTGAAAATCCAGCGTGATTTTCTGGATCAACCTTTAGGTAGCCAGCATTTTGGGCGGCTTCATGCTCCTCCCTGCACATTAAGTAGATCTATTCATGGTCTGCATGTGTTTCTAGAGAGAAAGTACTGTCCATGCAGAGCCCCCATGCTGTAAAAATTCAGATTATTCCTTCCAAAGAGCAGTTCTTTGCGTTGCCAAGGACTGCACAGTACCCAGCACCATGGCTCTGCCTTTGCATTTGGTTTCTAAGGCAGAAAGAGGCCTGTAGAGTGAGTCCTCACAAATCTCCTGACTGGTAAGGAAGGTCACGCTCCACCAAGCTCAGCTAACCCAGTGGGAAGCCCACAGCAGAACCTCGTATCTCTGGTTGCTCTCCACTGAAATTATATTCTCAGCCATTTTATACAAATTCCCATTTATTAGAAATAGCTCCTCTTCCTTCCCAGTGTTGCTCCCTCTTTCCCCCAGCTGGATGCATGACAGGTCAAGTCCTCCTTGGAAAGGCATGAGCTGGGAGGTGCTCTCCAGTCACCTGGCAGGTGGGAAGAGGTGTCGTGGTGGAGAATAACATTCAGGGAATGGCCAGAGCAATGAGGATTCTCCAGATTTCCACCCAAAAGGGAGTCAGGGAGCCCTGATGATGTCCCTTACTGCCCCCGAAAATGAGAAATGCTCTAATGCCATTTACTGACATCTTGGACTGCAACCATAGAAACAACAGTCCCTCCTGCCCACATCCTTTTCTCTTCTCCACCAAGGCTGCAGAGCACAGGACCAACTCATTAAAACTGGGTCCACGCCTGGGAACAGGCTGGTTGGAGGCTTGACACCAAAACTAAGAACAATTTTCCTAGCAAAGCCAAAGAGCATAAAGGGTCTGTGTGCAAAGAGACATCCGACCCCTTTCCATAGCATCTCCCAGCTGCAGTTCCAGAAGCTTCTCACAACCTGCTAAGCAGCCCCTGTCGTCATCTACATGCTACACATGGAGACTAGAGATGCAAAGGGTTAATGCCCAAGGACATGCAGCAGGCCAGGGACAGATCCATTATCTCTTCTTTCCCTGCAGCTTTTTCTTTCAAAACTGCAAGTGGGAAAAGGGACAAGAAAAAGAAGAAGAGTCCCCAGCCCACCTGCTGTTGGAGAGGTATCCCTACAGCAGGAGAGGACTTCTAAGGTGAAGAGAGAAAGATGCCAAGCAAGGAGCTAGTGGTCTGCCTGGACTTTCCATGGCAACAACCACAATTTTGAATTTAAAAGATGGGGAGAGAACCCAGTGCCATGAGCAACACAGTCAGCAGAGAAAGGATGGGAAGGAAGGTGGGTAGCTTTACCTAGAGGTGGCCTCTTCCACTCACACTAGCCTTTTACCCCTGGAGATGTAGCTCCAGATGCTGGATACATCTACAGCAAAATGACTTTGTTTTCCCCTGACCACTTCAACTTGTCAACCTGATTCTATTTGGCAACTTGACCCCATTCAAGGACAATCCAGGACGGGGAGAGTACACAAGAAACAGAAATTGTATCTACAGGCCAAAGTTGGCACAGAGGAACCCAGAGCACTGGCAACTGTGCAAGACATTAGGTTCAAGTGAACCCAGGAAGGATAAATCACACAATGAAAGGGCTCCAGTCTAAAACACATCCTCCCTGGAAGTGTTGAAGGCCAGGCTGGATGAGGCTTTGAGAAACTTGGTCTAGTGGAAGGTGTCCCTGCTGCTGGCAGGGGGGTTGGAACTGGATGAGCTTTAAAATCCCTTCCAACCCAAACCAGCCTGTGGTTCTATGATTCTAAAACCATTAAGAGCTCACAGCTCTGCTCCCCCTATGGCTACTCACACACCCATGTAACAGGGGAGGTTGTGGTGTGGGCTGGGTTCACAAAGATAGTGAAGAGGATCTGACTTTGATGGGTCTCAGCTGGTGTGGAAGAGGGGATGGACAGAAAGTTCCCTTGGGTAGAAAACACAAGAGAGAGTGGGATTTGGGGAGAAAACACCTGGAAAGAATTTTCTTACGCCTTGAGAGTAGAAACAGAAACCATGACACTTCAAAAAGCCAGTAGCCTCCAACAGTTCTCCAGCCCATGTGCAACGATACTCAGGGAGGGGAAGGCTCTAGGCAGCAGAATCGTGCCCCAGTTACCTGTAGCAGTTGTTATGGTATCTGTTATAGCTGCCCAGAGCTGTCAGGCATCCCAGACAAATTGCATATGAAAAGAAGATTTGAGTGCCTGCATCCATCCAGACCTGCAAGGGAGATGGAAACAGAAGTGAGAAGATGAGGCCAGCACAGAGCGCAGACACTGCACGGATGTGAAAAGGCAGAGCCCAAGGGGCTACCACAGGCAGCAGAAAGGCCAGTGATCAGGAGGTCAGCAACACCCAGCATTTAGACAAGCCTGTTCTAGGGCCAGGATATACAGTGCCAGGAATTGCAGTGCTTGGTGGGGCACCCAGGGTGTGATAAGAGTGCCAAAGGGAAGGGATGCACCGGCAGCCTTGCAAACCCACAGCACATCTAGCTCTTCATCATCATCATCTCTTTCTTCCTTGGACAGATCTGCAGAACCCTGTGACTCTCCAGAGCCTCCCGGCAGTGAGAGACCAGATGAATACTTTCCATGAGAGCTGAAGGAACCTTCTGCTAGCAAAGGAGGGGAACTTGATTTGGGCAAGCCTGGTCTCCCACTGGGCTGGCACAGTTTCTAGTGGTGGCCCTTCTCTCCAAGACCTAATTGAAAGGCTTCAAAACCTAAAAGAAAATTAACTGAGGAGAAGAAGAGCGCTAGAAATAGAATTGTTTGCAAAAGACAGCTCCTAGAAGGAAATACAAGAACGCTGTGTTAGTCCCACGAGGTGCCTTTGGAGTCCTCTTCACTCTCACTGTCAATAACATGTCCCAGTGCTCTGAGGCTGACATTTGTCAGTGCCAAATTTGATCTGGAAGCCTATCTGTGTGCAGTCACCAGTGCCACCACTGCCACTGCCTTCTGCAGAGAACTTCAGCTAAAGCAGGAACCAGCAGTGAGGAACGAAGCAAAGGCAAAGGCTAGTCATTAAACCCTCTCTTTTCCAACATCTTTCTTCCTGAGGGGTTTATAAACTAGAGACAAGACAATCATTCAACCAATGCTGAAGGGCAGCCATATTCTAGAGACAAAAGAGAAGCCAGTCAGGAAAGAAAAGCAGAAGAAAAGTATTACTGGGACAAATGAAGTGAGAAAAGTCTCCATTTGGCTATAGCCTCCTTCTCCAGAGTAGCAGTGCTACTGGTGAAGGTCAGCCCTTGGACAAACACCAGCCTTGCCCCAGGATCCCCTTTGAGAACAGAAGTCAATGGAAGGCACACCACAGCAGTTTTGGTAACTCTGAATCACACCTGTACCTGTCAGCCAAGACCTCATGTCCTGATGCAATGGTCAACCCTGTTGCCTGGGCCACCCTCACCAATACATGGTTCTGCCTTTCCTCTTCCACACTGGCCAAAGAGCAATCCCATGGGGAGAGGTTTTGTTTAGTCTTTACCTCTTCTCCTTCCTGGCTTGATGGGCTTCAAAGGGATGTTATGATCCTGTTAGCTGCCATCTTCTGGAGGAAATTCTGGTTTTAGCTCAAGGGACAGCTGCCGAGAACAAATCCTCTCCCTGCCCACTGTCACAAGACCCAGCAGCACATTCTGCCAGGAGAGAAAGCAAAGCTCTGCTAGGGCTGGTGAAACTGCTCTACCTAACTGTCCTGTGAGGAACTGGGCTGGTGTTCAGCCCCACCACCTTCTCTTTGGTCTGTGGAAACCCTGTTCACAATTTCACAGGGAGTCACATCAAATCTGTGATTGCAGAATGGGAAGGGACAGAGGATGAGGTGTGGCTGGAACAACTAGCTCTGGGCACTGGGACGCTGAAAAAGTAATTGACCTTGGTTTATTTTACTCCTTTTGGAGGAGTGGAGTGGGAAGGTGGGTTTAGAGAGCAAGGGGTTTCATTCATTTTTGCATTTCAAAAAGACTGGAAGAAATCAAAGCCCTTTTAAGAATTTATTCCTACAGCATCCTCGTGCTTGTGGGCAGTGAGGACACAGCCTTCACTTTTCAGCTGCTCTTTGGGCACAGCACAGCACTGAGCTGAGCTAGACCAGCCAAAACCTTTGCATTGATAATTTAAGCATCTTTGCACAGATCAGAGTGGAAGGTTTTGTTGAATTTGCTTTTTATTTTGCTGTTCATTGCTAGAGCTCTGTTTTTTTTCATCAAACTCAAGCTGGAATCACACCCTCTCGTAGGTTTTGGTATCCTTGTAGTTCAGTTTGTCAAGGTAACAAGATCTTTGCCATTAAACTGCCAACTCCACGCTTGTCATAATGTTCAACCCAGCTGACAAGGTTCAACCAGATTTAACAGTTGGTAGAAACCTCAAATATAGCAGTTACCTATGAATTTCATAACAGCCAAGGAAGAGGAAGAAGTCAGGAACTCAGCATCCCAACTGAGCGGAAAGCAACAGGGAGGAGCAGTCAATCAGTGTTAAGTATCAGATAAATCACACAGGCAAGAGACATGAGAAATAACCCAAGGGCAGGAAATGAACTGCTGCTTCCCCAGCCGTGGAAAAAGCCAAATATCAAGACACCAAGCTTCATTAGCTCCGTGGCTCGTGAACCGGCTCATTCCTAGAACTCAGCGATACCCTTGACTGTGTAGCAGAGACCAGTGTGGGGTCTGTGGGCTCCCATTCTGCTGCCTGCTCTGCCCAACACAACACCCATGGGGTGCACCCGGGGCTGGCTGGGACCCCAGCCCCAAAGGGATATCTGCAGGGAACACAGGAGCTGCCTCAGGATATGCTCCTGTTTTAAGCAAGGCAACCTCGGGCTGAAACAGTTCTCTTTCCTGGAGAAAAGGAGGCTGAGGGGAGACCTTCTGGCTCTGTCCACGTCCCTGCAAGGAGGGTGGAGAGAGGTGGGGGTGGGTCTGTTCAACCAAGGACCAAGGAACAGGACAAGAGGAAATGGGCTCCAGTTGTGGCCAGGGCAGTTGAGATGGGATGTGAGGGAGAACTTCTTCACCCAAAGGGCAGTCAGGCATTGGAACAGGCTGCCCAGGGAGGTGGTGGAGTCACCTTCCCTGGTGGGATTTAACAGATGGGCAGATGAGGTGCTGAGGGACATTGGTTAGAGGTGGAACTGGTAGTGTTGGGTTTATGGTTGGACTCAATGATCTCTAAGGTCTTTTCCAATCACTGTGATTCTATGACATAAAGCTAAGCTTGGCTTGCAGAGCTTACAATCCTACTTAGTCAGAACGACTGTGAGCATCGCCTCGGGCTTCTATGTACTTTATTTCCCCTTTTAAAAGGTTACTACAGTTCTTGGGTCAAAGACCAAGACACCTTAGTGTCCTTCCCAGCCCCCTGGGAAGGACACAAAGAAAACACCAAAGAAAACAAAGAGGTTTCTGGCTCATCCCCAAGAGCACAGCTGCCTGCCCCAGGGTGTTGCAGAGGGGTGAGGGATGAGGGTGGTGGATCACTGGAACAGGTTGCCCAGAGAGGTAGTGGAGGCCCCATCCCTGGAGATATTCAAGGTCAGGCTTGATGGGACCCTGAGCAACCTGCTCTAGTGAAGATGTCCCTGCTCACTGCAGGGGGGGTTGGACTGGATGATCTTTGAAGGTCCCTTACAACCCAATACATTCAATGATTCTATGTTCTGAGGGATGCTCCTTGCTGCCCAAGAATCTGGGCTTTACAGGGCTTTACAGTCCTCCCTGCCCAGCTGCTGGTGGGTGGATGGAAAAACAGCTTTATTCCTTCCTGCTATGTCAGCACTGAGATCAGACTCAGCAGGGACGACATGGGAGGAGGAGGAAGCTCCTCAAGATAAATACAGCTGTGGTTCACCCTGCATGGATGCACCACTCCAGCAAGGCAGAGGAGAGGACACCAGCACCAAGCCCCTCCAGCTCTCCCTCCCTGCTGCCCCTTAACATGCCCTCTGTCCCCCAGGCAAGGACATCAGCAGTGCCCAGGCTCACAGACCTTCTGCAGGGCTAGGAGGTCACGGGGCGAGCGTATGGTGCCAGCAGCAGTCCTGTTGGCACACACATGTCCACATCCACACACAAGCACAGCGGGTCATTCTCCAGCAGGAAAACAAACACAGTCGCCTCCAGAGAGGGAAGCGGGGGGCCGGCAACAGCACAAACCGAGCGCACAGGGCCAAGTTAAAGGCTTGCTGGGAAAAAAATAAAGCAGGGGAACAAATAATATTTAGCAGGCCCACAGCTGCCTTCCCCACTTGCTGGGAAGGAGCAGCTCTCACTGGCCATGGAGCAGCAGCAGGAGGGGCTTGAACTTGGAGAGGATCTAGGGGCTTGACCCCTTCCCCAGCATGGCTATGGGGGCCCATGGATAACCCAGCGGGTCACAGCCCTACCAGATGCAGGCACCTCCCATCCTCCCTGTGATGGCTCAAGGGGATTATCCTCAGCACAGCCTCAGCAGTGAGTTACAGAATCATAGAATCATTAAGGCTGGAAAAGACCGCCAAGATCATCAAGTCCAACCATTAACCCACCACCACCATGCCCAGTTAACCGTGTCCTGAAGTGCCATGTCTACATATTTTTTGAACACCGCCAGGGATGGGGACTCCACCACTGCCCTGGGCAACCCCTTCCAATGCCTCAGAACCCTTGCAGCAAAGAAATTCTTCCTCACATCCCATCTCAACTGCCCTGGCCACAACTGGAGCCCATTTCCTCTTGTCCTGTCCCTTGGGCCTTGGTTGAACAGACCCACCCCCACCTCTCTCCACCCTCCTTGCAGGGACTTGGACACAGCCACAAGGTCTCCCCTCAGCCTCCTTTTCTCCAGGCTCAACACCCCCAGTTCCCTCAGCCACAAGGGAACTCAGCACACTTGTGCTCCAGACCCTTCCCCAGCTCCGTTCCCTTCTCTGGACACGCTCCAGCACCTCCATGTCCTTCTTGGACTCAGGGGCCCAACACTGAACCCAGCACTCCAGCTGCAGCCTCACCAGTGCCCAGGACAGGGGGAAGAGAACTTCCCTGGTCCTCCTGGTCATACTGGTGCTGATCCAGGCCAGGATGCCCTTGGCCTTCTTGGCCACCTGGGCACTCTGCTGAGAATGAGAGGGACATAGGGAAGGTTGTTTGAAAAGTAGTGCAGATGAGAGAGGGAGACACAACCAGAAGCTTTGGCTGGGTGAAGGTTATGCTCCGAATTTAACCGCACAGAGTAAGTCAGGGCACCTCAGCACCAGAGAGAAGAATGCTCAGAGGCTGCTGAATTTACTTCTTCTTCATTCTTCCTCACTAAACCTAATGAAATTTAGCTAAAATTGAAACTTGATACCAGAGTGAAAGGAGACCACTACGTTTCTTCTCTTTAAAGCAAACCCAAACATACTGCTGGCACTTTCTGCATCAAGCCCATCAGTCCTTTCTTTAAATCTATTAAAATGATGTCTGGTCATGGTGTGAAAGCACCAAGCAATGGAGAGCCTGCCATCACCTCAGAAAAGTTCTTCTCATTCCAATTTTCCCACACTTAAACATTATTTCTACACTGAATTCCTCTGGTTTCAGCTTCCCACTATTGGATCACACTGTGCATCCGTCTCCTCAATCACAACCGTAAATCCCCAGCATTAGCTACAGAAATAAACAGCTGATAACACTGCCATGGAGATCACTGCCAAGGGTAAAGGGATCGAAAGTGGAAATGGTGAACAATCCCGAGACCCCTTTTTGGTTGAAACAGAAGCCACATTATAAAATAAGTAGGAACCTTCTGGAGCACAGAAAATGTAACCAAGGAGGGGGAAAAAATTTAGGGCTAACAATGACGAGCATGCTAACATCATAATACTGAATATTATACAAATAAAAAACCAACTATGGGGTTGCTTCTGAGGATTTTTATAGTTTGAGGGTGTACAGTTCAAAATAGATCATCGGATCCCAGAATGTTGTGAGCTGGAAAGGAACCACAAGGACCATGGAGTCCAACTCCTGTCCCTGCACAGGACAAGCCCAACATTCACACCATGTCCCTGAGGGCACACGTTGGCCAAATGCTGCTGGAATCTTGTCAGGCTTGGTGCCTCCTCTTCCCCTTGGGAGGAAGTTCTAGACCCCCAGGAGATCTCCTCTCAGTCTCCTCCAGGCTGAACAAACCCTGTGACTTCAGCCTCTCCTCAAACCCTTCCCCTCTAAACCCTTCCCCAGTTTTGTGACCTCAATAATGATCTCTCTGGTGCTTTTGCTGTTATCTGTTTATATTTGAGCAGATCTGGACTTAATGATTGAAAACTTTGACTTGGCAGTTCCTCCCTATGGTCTGATCTACCTATCAAATGCATTTTATTTACCATTTTAATTGTAAACATTTCACAGATTTAGAAAATGAAGGTGCAAGGAAGATTTAGGGCATTGTAAACTTTCTGGCCAGAAAAGACCACCATCAATCAGCTAACCTGAGCTCTCCTAGGCAGGATTTCCCAGCTCTGTCCAAGGCCATTTGGCAGGTGAAAAGCAATGATTTCCACACACCACTGATATTCTGACACTTCATCACATCTCGGCTGCTGCTGCTGCTGCTCCCCTGGTAGAATCTGCTAAATAATTCATCCCCCTCTTTTCACCTAGTTTTCTATAGACTTTAAAGAAGTTGTGATTTTGTCCACTTGGGTATTGTTTACCCTTTGTATAAACCTGCCTTTGGGATGCCTTATCATAAGGCTGAGATTGGAGAGAGGGGTTTTTTGTTGGTTTGGGTTTTTTTTTTTAATTTCCACAATCTCTTCCCAGGCAGTAAAGAATCTTCCACGTTTTTCCAGGCATTGCAGGATTACAGGTAAAATATTACAGCTTGCCATCCTCCCAAGCTCAAATCAATTAGAATCGACTTGGCCACAATGGGCTGGCAGGACTCACGCTGTCCCTGCACAGAGTGAGGGGGGACATGGCCACGCACGTGTGGGGCTTGGGGCTCTAACTCTTCCCTTTCTGATGGGAAAACACAAGAGAAACCTCAAGCCCTGCTACCCGGCTCAGTAGGATGGTTAAAGCATGCTGGAGGAAGGCAACTACTGCTACCAACTCTTGCTTTTCTCCCGCAGAAGTGGAGCATTCATCATCAGGGAATGATGGAGTTGGGGAAGGAGGAGCAAGTTTTCCTCCCCGAGTCAAGCAGAAATGATCCTCTTGCTCCAAAGGCTTACTCTGCTTTTCCACCACCATATTAGCATTTTCCAAGCTGGAAGGAAAACTGTGTTTCTAAAGCTCAGGCTGTGACTGGAAAAGTTTGCCCGGACAGACCTAATGAGGACACAGGTAGTACCAGCCAAACCATGCCATGCCTGAAATGGTTTAATGCAGTCCCCTGGGCAACCCGGCCACAGCAGCAACAGGACTTTTCATAGAATCACAGATCGTAGTGATTGGAAAAGACCTTTAAGATCATCAAGTCCAACCATGAACCCAAAACTGACCAGTCCCCGACTAACCCATGTCCCTCCGCACCTAGGCACTGTGTCTACACGACTCTTCAATCCCTCCAGGGATGGGGACTCCACCACTGCCCTGGGCAACCCCTTCCAATGCCTCAGAACCCTTTCAGCAAAGAAATTCTTCCTCACATCCCATCTCAACTGCCCTGGCCACAACTGGAGCCCATTTCCTCTTGTCCTGTCCCTTGGGCCTTGGTTGAACAGACCCACCCCCACCTCTCTCCACCCTCCTCCAAGGGACTTGCACAGAGCCAGAAGGTCTCCCCTCAGCCTCCTTTTCTCCAGGCTCAACACCCCCAGTTCCCTCAGCCACAAGGGAACTCAGCACACTTGTGCTCCAGACCCTTCCCCAGCTCCGTTGCCCTTCTCTGGACACGCTCCAGCACCTCCATGTCCTTCTTGGACTCAGGGGCCCAACGCTGAACCCAGCACTCCAGCTGCGGCCTCACCAGTGCCCAGTGCAGGGGGAAGAGAACTTCCCTGGTCCTACTGGCTTTTCGTAAGTGAATGAGCACCATGTCAAATCACTAGCTTATTTCAGAGGTCTCTAACATCTCGTCAGCATGAATGGAGCCACAAACACTGCAAACATGGACCTGTCCTCACCCCCTTCCAAGTCTTGCTGCACCTTCACACCCAGGAACAGCTGTCCTACCCACCTCCTGCCCACAGGCAAACCCAGAGAGAGTGAGAGTTGCCAGCACTGTAAAACAACACTGCATTGACCAGAGAGTGACTTCCAGAAAGCTGAGCAGGAATTCCAAGTGCTTCCCATGATAAAAACCAGACTGCCTGGAGCTGGAAACCAGACACTCATGTTTAGCTTCCCCAGCTCGGAAGCCGTAAGTCAAACTGACTTGCACGGAGCCACATCACACCAGTGGCACAGGAAGGACCTGGGGATGACACCCCCTGACACGCTGGTACCCCCACACACTCTGATTCCCTCTCCTCCATCAGGGAGGACGGATCAGCTGGAGCCATTCCTCCCCCAGACATTATGCCCTTTGTTGCAAAATTAATAACCAAGGCAGCACTGGGGCTAGATCAGAAAGAGTTAATGGGGTTACGAAGGGTTTTGCTGGCCTATTTTCCAGGCAGGCACCCTTTAATCTACTTTGGAAACACCTTCACACAAAGGCTGGTACAGCAGCTCAGCTGGAGCCAGGATTTAATGTGGAAGAACTTGTCCCAAAGAGATTAAAAGCAGCAGCAGTGGGGTACTGACCCTCCCATCAGACTGGCAGGAATTTCTCACTGGGGACTGGGAGGCAAGGAGAGCAGACAGGTCCTGGGGAACTGGAATCCCAGACTGGTGGGGTTGGAAGGGACCGCAGGAGATCATCCAGTCCACCCCCCCTGCCAAAGCAGGTTCCCTACAGCAGGTTGCACAGGAAAGTGTCCAGGTGGGTTTGAACATCTCCAGAGAACACCTCCAGAGATGGAGTCTCCACACCCTCTCTGGGCAGCCTGTCCCAGGGCTCTGGCACCTCAAGAAAGTGCCCCCAAGAAAGTGGGGAGTGGCTGGTGCCACTCGTGATGAGGGGTTAAATCCCACCACCCGTACCCCCGAGCAATTCAGACCCAACTCAGCCTAGAAACTATGGTAACAGCACAGTGAAGGCTGAGGGCAAGACAGCACAGGGACCACCAGTGTCCACACTGATATCACAGCCCTGCCTTATGCCCACAGAGGGGGAAAAAAGAGGAGAGAGAAAGACAAAATTGGAAGAAAGAGTG